GGTCTCTCTCTCTCTCTCTCTCTCTCTCTCTCTCTCTCTCTCTAATACCCAACCCTAACAATTTATACTTCTAACTTATTCTAAAAATATATTATTTTCAGTTTTATGTTAATTAAGTAGTAATGAATTAGTTTTTAATTTTAGGTTTACTACAGTTAATTTGATGTTTTTCTCTACACAGACAAATCACATAATTTACATAAGCAGGTAGAGGTGAGCTTATTAGTATTTTTTTTCAATTTCCTATTTCTTTGCAATAATTTTTCTACATAATTTTTAATGAATAAAATTTTCCCCATTCCTTCACTTGAATTGGAATGGTTGAAAAATGGCAAGCTATTAAATTGTTGATAAATTAGGAAATTTTTTATGAGCATAGATGCATACTTTGAGTATATATCTAAACTTTACTTACCTGAAATGTACTTCTGTGTGTGCGCTAAGCATATTGACATTTCAATTTTCCTTGATTCCCATCAAATTGCAAAGAAAATAGGAGTTACAAATAATATTTCTTCAAAAGCATACGACATCACAATTGAGCATGATTTGCTATCTCCAGATAAGATCAAAACCTTGATTTAGTTTCTCTTATAAATATATTTGCTAATTTAACATTGAAATTATAATATATTAGTAAACTTATCCTTCTTTCTTGGTAAATCATAACATACTATCTAAAAGAATAATAATAAATCATCTTTTAAGTATTTTTGTAATTGATATAATCTAAATTATGATATATTAGCAAATAGATTGTTTCTTGCCGAAAAATATTTGTTACCTAAAAGTACAAATAATTATAGATTATTATATAAAAATCTAAAAGTAGTATAAGACAACATAATTCAAATTATAACATATAGGTAAATACATTCTTTTATGTAAAAAAGTATATTTTAAAAAGAATATAAGAATCTTTTTTTTCATTTTTTTTTGTATTTTCTATGTTTTTCGTTTTGGAACTTCTAACCTCCACAACGAAATTGGAAAAAAATACTCTTTTACCTTCATTTATGCAATTTAAATTATTTAATCGTTTATGTTCTAATTTGTGCCAAATGGATACGTGTTAATTAAATATTTTTAAAATAATACATCAACCTCTAATTGAAATAGCATTTACAATTTTTTGGTATCCCGCTAATCTATTTTATCAAGAATTGTATAACTGAATTATTTATTTCTTTCGAATTATAATTATTTAATAAAAATATTTAATTGTGAGGATAAATTGAATAATCACTAAGACTATAATTTATTAAAAATATTTTTCAATGATAAACATTTTCCAGTAATAAATATTAAATAACACGTACAACGTACGTGCATATTACTGGTTTAAAAGAGCAAATGCACCAGAAGTATGTGTCACACGCGTGGAGGCACTTAAGGTTGCATTTTGCACTTTTACAATATGCAACCCTCATTGAATGGCGATGTGCGTGCATCGAAAGGGCGATAATTCTAGCCGTTGCAATGGCTAGCGCTTCCGCTGCATTCATGGACCCAAAGGCTAGCGCAGCGGTTGCAACGGTTTGCAACCGTTGGATGACTAGCACTGTGACTGTTGGGTTCCTAATAATTACATGGCAGAATGAACATTGCTACTGTTCATTTGAATAGTCGCTTCAAAAAGCCACCTTACACACCCTACAAAGAATGGTTCGAACTCCCCATTTCTACACATTCTAGTCTTCGAAATTTTCTACCCTTTTTCGGTCTCTAAAGCTGGCCTTTGATCAACGAGATCATCTTATCAGCTTTGTTTTCAGATATTCCCTAGACTATTTTGCCTAGTCCACCTTTTTCTACCTTGATCTTTATCGGTAAGGAGGCAAAATACAGTTGCTTTTAGTGAGGTTGAAGACAGGAAGGTCCTCCCATTCTTTTTTAATACTACAACCCCCGTTTCATCCACATTGTTTCATCGGTACATGCTAGATTCCAGCTTCTTCACGAAAATAAATGTACACACGTGTGCACACACATATACATACACCCACATACACACCCTTACCCATACGCAATTCAGCATCATTCACCTCGTGGACCAGGTGCATGCAACCTGTGAAATGCCATTGAAAGAGATAGTATGGGTTCAAAATATTCTTTCACAAAAAGGGAAAACGAAAAAAAAGCTGGCACATCACTACCGGCTCTGAATTCAGTAACATTGCTCCAAAGGCTCATTACCTTGGCATCACGTGTTATAAGTAATATATACTTTACAAACATCCATATAGAATACTTGTTCAGCCCTAGTATTTTACAGCAACATATATTCTGCCCAGAATCCTCAATTGAACAGCAGCCTTTTCTTTCTTGAGACAAATATTGCTGGGTAGGCATCATCGAAACAAGCGACCTGTCATTACATTTATATTGGAGTTTGAATAATAATTTACTATCCCTTTGGACGAAGGTTTTGGGAAAACATGTGGCAGACTTCCTTATTTGAAACTTCCGTCTACTACTTGTAGTCCAAGCCGGAACCATATTTCCAGGCATCAAAATTCCTTCTCCATTCATATTTCTGCTTATCTGGAAGAACATCTATCCAAGGCCTTGACCCAGATAGTTTTAAATGGTGAGATTAGAGTGCAAACTAGTTAAAGAAATGGCAACTAGAATGAAAGCAATAGTTACCTCATAAGGGGATCTAAGAAGCTTGAAAGGAACGTGTAATAACCCAACATAAAAAAGTGGACAGACCACTCCAAAACTGCCGGGATGCCTACCTGCAGGGTAAGCCGCAAGGTGCATGAAATGTAGTTTTATGCCATAATGACCTAATGATTGTAATACTGAGAATAACTTCCTATATATATTTCCTTCATTGAAGAATTTGGCTGAAAAGAATGTCTTTCATCTTTGACTTATCCGAAGTGGATTTAGCATCTAAGCAATCACAAACCATAGTGTACAGAATGCACAAGACAATCAATGCAACATAAGAGAAGATTCTCACGCAAACCTTTTTTGCCCGTAATCCCTATTCAGCTCATTCTTGTATTTCGGATATTGAACTCTTTTAACTTTTTTAATCCACGTCCAAAGATTTCAGAGATCATTTAGGAATAAAGAACGATCAATTTATGTGAACTAGGAATTACAGTCCAGCAGCTAATCAGTGAGAACAAATAGAAAAGAAACTATAGAGAGCGAAGTTTAGAAGGATACCTGCTTAAATATAGATGGTAGAATTTCTGGACGAGTAATGCTAATCAATCCTAGTGTCTTTGCAAGTGGTGTAAACTGTATTATGTCCTGCTACCAGACAGCATATTACACCCAGAAGAAAGCCACCATAATCAAAACATGGAGCACACACACAAATGCATTTAATCAGATGGATTTATTTTTAAAATGATAAGGAAATGAATGATCTTAAGGAGCATTTTTTTCACTGACCTGGAGAAATGGACGAAGGACTGGATCCCCTAGCTTCTGGATGAAGCAAAACGAGGACACATTGGTGTAAATGTACAGATACTAAACAAACTTAAGGAACACACATGAGAAATATGGTACAAAAGGAATGCTTTACCTGCATACATTGGAAATTGATATGGAGGAGTTCATTTATAAAATCAGGTGACACATCAGGATTTCTGCTCGCTGACATTGATCTCAAAAACAGCCATGATGCACTTAAATTTGGCTGAAAAAGGAAAAGCCTTAAAGCTAGAATTTTTTTCCTCCATGTAAAGAAGCAGTAAACCACATTGTGGTACAGTAAAGTTAGTCAAGGTTATACTGACCATATAAGGATTTATCTTTGACAAGCTGTATGAATCAACATAATCTCCTCTCACTGCTTCATAAATTCCTTAGAAACCCAAGAAGGAAACCAAGTGTTCCATGAATAAGATGTATTAGTCAGATGGATTACACACAGTTGACAATAGAGTAATAAGAAAATAGATATATAAGAAACCTAATTTCATATACATAATTGTATTGAAAGGAAAATATGCAAACAAATAAAAAACATTAAAAGTTACATGTATGCACTTATGTAAAAACAAACTGACATACATCTTTACATACATGATCATTGGATATACATTATTATTCACTTGCATATGGGTTGTTCTTTTTCCTTTGTTTTGTGGGAGGGGGGGTCTGATGAACATGACAGGACACATATCCCTTGGGTTTTGAGGGAGATATAGATGATTTATATTCTAGATTCTAAGGTTTAATGTTCATTTCTTTTGCAAAACAGTATGAGGACATGGAAATCCCATAACGTGAACATCAAAGAGCATTGAAAGCATAAAAAGGTTGTGATTTGCAATGTTGAACATGTAATTGCAACATTCTTATCCTTGAAAATTTTGGGGAATGAAAAAGTGTAAATGGAGTTCCAGTAGGGCAATAAACCTTAAAATATATACGAAGTACTTATACATCATTGCAAATCAAGACATGTACTCAACTATGGACGTAATGATAAGCAAATGTAACATGAAATGCATAGCAAAAGACTCAAACAACCTTGACCCCCTTTTCCTTGCAACTAGAATGTTGATATTCCAAAGACCAGTGGCAAGGCCCGATACTCTTCTATAAGCCACCTTTCTTTGGCGAAAATCCACCATGCAGAAACTTTCAGTTGATATGAGGAAGGCAAAACACAATGCCAAAAATGCATGATCTTCTCTTCTGATTAGTTTTTGAAGGGATGGGGCCGACATGTTAACTGGAGCATTCTGATCCTCCAATAACTGTTGTATTGTATATTGTACTTTGTTTGGAAAGGGGTTTTATGCTCTAACATTCAAAAATGGTTAATAATGAGTTGGTGTTCAATGGAGCACAATCTGTTGGGTACTTTACAAATTGGATGGGTATTGAAACACCATTCAGAGCCCATCTTTTAGAATAGAAAAGAAATTACCTTAGCAGGTCTTCTCTATTTGATTGCCTATGATGATGGTCTATGCATTCAGAGTAAGGAGGAGCGAATCAACCAACAGGTAAAAAAAATTTAGGTGTATAACTTAGTCATGTACATAGTGTTATTCTTCTATATTATTCTATAGCTGCCTAGAGCTATTCTGGTAAGATGTTTTATCACCCTAACTGAATGTGAAGAATCTCGCTCAAGAGTTGGAAGCTCCATCTCTCCACCAGTACTTCAGTTCTTCCCCTGCCTGAAGCTAACATGGCATTGGAGCCCAGACGGGAGCGAAACCCAAAGATGGCTATATAAATGATTTGCATGTGCCCTCCTTGCTAAATATGGGTTCCCATTGTGTGAGTTTAGCCATAGCAAGCTATCTATGAATCACAAACAAGGTTTCAAAAATGCTAGGCGGGCCCTAGGCAGCCTGCCTGGCGCCCAGTGCCTAGGCGGAGGCCTAGGCGGGTGCCCAGAGCCTCGGGCGCCCTGCGGAGCAAATTCTTAGCTTTTTTTTATATATTTGTTATCCAAATGCACATATGTACATATATTTGTGTCAAAATTTGTAATTTATTCCAAAATTTGAACCATACAAAACATTTAAAAGTCTAATAGGCTACTGTAAGGTCTCCAACTCTCAAATTCAGAAATTCTCCATATTGGCATATTCCATATCCATAAAATAAACCATAATAACATCCAAGATTCCAAGTCTCCAACTCTCCAAGTCATCAACAAACTGACTTCCAAAACCATAGAAAAACCAACAAACCACACGACGAAATAGTCCAAAAAGGAAAAAAAATTACAAACTACATAACTAAATAAAAATCGTTCAAACTCCAAATGTTTAAAGCCCGAACCAAGATGGTGCAATGAAGTATTAAAGTTACTTCAAAAGAAGAGAGAAGACAATTAAGACATCAATAAGAATCAGAATCATCATCTTCATTGCCTTCATCTGGCCGTCATCATCAGAATCATCACCCTCTTCAACATATTCCTCTTCTTCCAGAGATTCTTCTGAATCTGCCTCCTCTTCCACTCTCTCCCTCCGTGAAGTACCAGCAGAACAAGTTACTCAAGTGGCCCTCCTAAGATCAAAAGCTTGCCCTGAAGCCTCCTCGACCACTTCCCATGTCAAACCCTCCCCAGGGAAGACCTCCTCAGTACCAGGTCACTAACTAGCCAATCTGAAGCATTCTCCATGTCTTTCGAAGAGATAGGGCCCTTCTTTGGCTGGTTTTTTTTCTCCTTAAGCCTTTGATTCTCTCTAACAAAAACCAAGTCATTGAGCTTCCTTTGCTCAAGCCTATTTCTTCTCTTTGTATGCACCTATAAGGAAAAATAAAGCATAAGTAACTGTTATAGGTCTATGATCTTCTTACCATTTATCAATCTATATTACAAAATAAATATGAACTTATAAACAATAAAAACATATAAAAATTTTATTCCTTTAAAATAGTAAAACAGTAAAATACCATCTCAAACGAACTTCAATTGCGCTCACAACCAGAAGAGGTAGTTGTCAAACTCAAGACCCACATAGCCATCTTTTGGAGGTTTGGAGCTCTACTCTCATGTTGTCTCCACCATTGGGCTGCAATATGTGGACAACATTTATAATTAATTTAGGTATTTAACGTTATCAGACCTTGAAAGAAAATTATAAATTTATATTTTATAAAACAAAAGTACATAAGCCAAAAGAATATTACCTGGTTCGTCTTTGTTTCTCTGCCTTAATGCCATATCTTTCCCAAAAGACATCAAAGAACACTTGTACGAAATTAGCTCTTCAATTGATATCTTATCTTGGATATTTGTATCAGGAACTAATTTCTCAAGGCACTCATTAAAACCATCCATAATTACCCCTTTTGACTCAATATCTGCATCTGCATAAAAGAATTTGCGGTTCAAGTAGTACCCCGCTGCATGCAATGGCCTATGGAGCTACCTATCCCATTTAATATCTATAATCTCCCAAATTGGGGCATACTTTGCTGCATCATCGCTCAAATTCTCTGCAATCTCATTCTTAGCTCTTTCCATTGCATCATATATAAGGCCCATGGAGGGCTTATCAGCATCAACCAAGCACAAGACCTTCACGAATGGAAGAAATACTAGTATCGCATGCTTCACCCCATGCCAAAAACATTTCCAATGAATAATATCTCGTGTTTTCTTTCCCTGGGCATCTCTAAACCATTTACACCTACTCCACTCCTCTGAAGCAAACATAGACCTTAATACGATCCTCCTCTAATACATGCTCTGTAGACTAAGGTAGGCAGTGGCAAATCTAGTGACCCCAAGCCTCACTAGCTCTTTCTTTTTTGTAAACTTGCGCATCATGCTACGGGTAAGTATGTGACTGTATATAAAGATTGTAACCTCCTTAGCCCTAAAAATAATTCTTTTAATAGGAGGCAATTCACCAATTGCCTCAAGCATAAGATCACGCAATGTGCAGCGCAAGGAGTCCAAAATATGCGAGGCTTCTTTTGTCGAAGCAAATGACCTACAGCTAGATTGGGAGCAGCATTATGACCACTTGAATTACATGTTCCTCCCCAACCTCATCAATACCCTTATCAAGGAAAGAAAATATAAAATGCGCATCATGAACATCATTAAAAGCATCGATTGAGCATAAAAAAACTGTACCAATGGGACAATTTGCTAATAAATTCATGTTATTCCTCCTCCTATCACTCTACATATCTGTCATCAAAGAAACCCCAAATTTAGCCCATCCCTCCTTATGAGTCTTGAGATATTGATTAGTGTACTCGACTTCTTTCTTCAGTAGTGGCTCTCCAATCTCATAAGGGGTTGGAGCTTTCAAACATGGCCCAAATTGCCCAATTGCTTCCAACATTGTATGAAAGCTATTCAAACTAGCAATGTTAAAAGAAATGCCCTCATGGTAAAACTACCGAGCAACATACTGAATCACCATGGCTCTATCTTCCTTTTTAAACATATTTTCAATTGTCACCTGTTTTTTCCCCTTTCCCTTGCCTTTCTCAATTACTGTCTCAAGGCTAGGTGTAAAGAAACTATCTATAGGTCCTTTCATACGAGCCTTCTTAGACCAAAAAGCCCTCTTGGTCTTAGAGCTTTGAGTACCAACCATGGTGGCTACCTCTTCTTCCCCCTCTTCATCATCCTCTTCTTCAGTTTCAGTATTATCATAAAAAATATGAACCCCTGACTGTAATTCTGCTATATCCTTTTGTTTTGCAATTTTTTTACTCTTTTCAGCTTCAATGTACTCCAAAATTTCTTTCTTTACATGATCTGGGACTTTCTTACATGGGGCGACATCACCTCTAATACCAGCAAGATGTTTCTTAAATCTATTTATGCCGGCATTAGAAACATGTCCACAGAAATTGCACATAATTTTATTTCTATCATTCTTATCCGGGTTAACACAATATTTCCATCCCGAATCTCCACCCCTAGTAGACCCCGCAGAAGACATCTCCAATTGAAAAAATAAATCTCAAATAAAGATTACAAACTGACCTTTACTACCCAATCTCTGATCTTCAATGTTGGCTATCTCAGTCGAGCTACAAATCAACTTAAAAGTCTTCTAATACCACCAATAGCACCCTAAAAATAATTTCAATCAGAAAAACAAACTTTTTCAATCCACAAAAAGTATATTCTCAGCAATTGCTTTAGATTCTCATAAATAAGTTTAAGATTTAGGGTTTCTTTTTTTTTTTTCAGTTTGGGGTTGAAAATAAACCCCTAAACTTATTTTATACAAACTTGGGAGTCAAAATAAACCCCTAAACTTAGGGGTTGAAAATAAACCCCTGAACTTATTTTATACCGCTAAACTTATTTTATACAAACTTGGGGGTCAAAATGTCCCCCTTTGCCCTTTTGGGCGAAGTTAAAAATTTGTAAATTGTGCTAGGTGCTGGGCGCCCGCCCAGGTATAGCCACCCGTGTTGGGGCGCCCAAGTCCAGGCACGCGGAAAATGTTTTCTGGGCGCCTAGGCGCCGGGCGGTCCGTTTTTTTAAACATTGATCACAAAACTTCATCGGACTAAGGTATTATTCAAGTATTGATTTACACCATACAGTATTCATCTTTTTCATTAATGTTACTGCACACTTGAAAATACATATCAAGAGAGAACACGGATCAACATACTCCTGAGAATACAATGAGTCAATAATAGAACTGTCGAAATGGCCCAAACAATATATCGAGATAAATAAATGTTTTTGCAAATCAGGATATCCTACAGTATTAGTGTCTATGGCAGAATTCAAACCTCCTAATAGTTTACGAGTCAGCCTTAAAGAGAATAGTCTTTTACGAAAGTAAAATCATGAAAATTGTGAAACTAAAATAATTCAAATTGGATTATCTAACAAAAAAAGCAGTCAAAATCCTACAGAGTTTACCAAGAAATGGGTTTGGATGGAGCAAACCTTCTTGGGTTCATGATACACACAATGATTAAGGTATGAACCAGTAAAGAAGAGAAATAAACACCATATGGACGAGCATGATGTAACTAGTTAGCACAACGTAAAACAATTGGAAGATGTCTTCCCTATCCGAACTAACCTTACATTGATATATAAATAATTTCTCTTATGATTAGTCACAGATCTCATATTCAAATGTTGTTGGACACTCCACATTACAAGCTTGTGATTCTATATTTTTATTATTTTTAGTTATTTTTCTTTTAAACCATTGGTCACAAATGGACTCAATCACTTGACAACTTACATAGGCAGATGTGAGTTTGGCAGGTAACAAACCACCCTTTTGTTTTTTTGGGTAAGTGGTAAAAAATCATATTTGAAGTGCTTCTCACCCATATTCTGGGTGCACACTGTCTGTATCACAAGTGTCAAGCATCAGCATGACTCTGAACTTGAAGGTCTGATTTTATCACAGCTAGTGCATCAACTACCTTCCAAATGAGCTTAAGAAACAAGATATGTGGATTCTTTTTTCCCATAAAAATAATACCTTTAGGGGCCCTGGTAATCCCTAGAAAAGAGGGGATGATAAGATGCCAAATCCTTCGCATGGAACTCATCATGTTATATCTGCCTTGCCCATTTATAGAGCTCACATCAATATTGTTAGGATGGCCTATGGAGGCCATAAACATGGTCGGATTGTTTTTTCTTTATACGTGCACAAACCTAAGAGATCTACCTCACTTCGCTATTCTTCTATTGTCAATGTATCTCAATAATGACAACATTCACAAGAACAACTACACATCAATCACTATATGTCAATTTGCAGGTTGCTAACTAAATTAGAAATATAACCATCAAAGAAAAAGAGAAATCTGCAGAATATTTTACAGTCAAAATTTCCAAAGTAAGAAGAAAAATGTGATCTGCATAAGATAACATGATGTCAACTAAATACAAGAATATAAGAAAACTAGGCAATGTTCTAGGACTTATTATACAAAAGACTTGTAGGATTTAAAAAAGATGAAGCAAGGATCCTTCTAAATGTTACCAGTAGCCAATCTTTTGAGGTGTCTTGTCATGCTACAAAAACCACCAAATGAAACTGGTGATTGGATACCACTAGCATCACCAACCTGCACAAGGAAAAGTCATGATTCTTCTCAATGCTTGCACTATTTTCTCCCATTTTACACATTTTTTAACCCAGAAAGAAATGATACTACCATGGTCATACCTGCAAAATGCGGTCGAACGCAGCTGGTAGTGGGCTGCCATGAATTACATTGCAGCAATAATAAGAATAAAGGCATTAGAACCTAGTTACATTACATGATTGGAAGATAATCACCAGAAATAGTAGACCTAGAATGCATATATACCAAGCAATGACTAGAAACAGCAAGCAAGCATATTCTCATCGCTTTAAAGTAATGAGAAAATGTAGACATTACAATATCTTAGCTTTTTGGCTCCTTTCCATATTATTTCTGAAAGATATAGCTCTAGAATATCACTATTTTTCTTAGACATTCTGCAGGGGTATATATATATATTTTTTCCCATTCTACAATACCTTGGAATTCCTCGTCTGCGACATCCACCTTGATGGACCGCCTCAACATCCCGTTCAACCAGCAACCACCTCTACTTTCCCTACCTCCTGCACCACTGCAACCTGAGGATTTTGGGCTCTTTGCTCATCCCTACCCCTTGTCTTTGAAACTGAACACACCCCCCCCCCACACCCACAAGGTCTTCTCCTCTCCCCCTGCTTTTCCCCTTCCCTCAGTCAACCCTAGTTTCTACAATCCCTCCCGAATTCCCTTTGCCCAGTGAGCTACAACCTCAGCCCGGGACCTCTTCTTCGGCTACCTCTTCTTCTCCCCCTTCCCCCACTGCAACAAACTCATCCATCATCAACAACATGGACGCAATGCAGGGTAACGTTCACGAGGTGCTCATGGTCATGGGTTTCATTATGACAGCTTAGAAGGTCCTTTCCACGCTTTCTACAAGGCCAACACATAATCTAGGCTCAGGCTAAGTGTTAAAGGTAAGAGAGAAGTCTCTCATATTGCCTTCGGCATCAATTATGACAGGCTGGCCCCCTGGCTCCACTGCAATCAATGTCGTGGCTATTGGCGTGTTACCCAGATGCTCCCAAGGAATGGTCTCCCAACTTAGAACCCCCTCATAATCACTCTGGGGCACCCCAACAAGAGGAATCCAGTTCAGGACTTATGTCTCAAATACCACCCGGCCATTCTAGCCCTTACTGAAACCAAGCTATCTGCTCCCTCTCTTCGTCTTGGGGTTGCAAACACTGCCAGTGGAAAGCATTGCCTGTGGTAGGGTCCTCGGGTGGCATTTGGGTCATCTGGGGCCCTACTGCCCACGACATCCCCTCCTCTCATATTGCCACCTTTTAGGTTAACATGATGGCTTCCGATGGAAATTTACTACAGTCTACGGTCCTAACTCTGTCTCTGTTACACACCAAACTTTGGGACGAACTCAACCTTGTAGCCTCTCTCCCCCACCCCACTTGGTCTTTGGGTGGTGACTTCAACGTCGCCCGTTGGTCCTTCGAGCGGAACTCCAGCTCCCATATTTCTCAAGGCATGCTCAATTTCTCTGATTTTGCCTCTAGTAATGACCTACTGGACATTCGACTCCAAGGAGCCCAGTTCACTTGGTCCAACCACTCCTCAACCCCCTCCCTTTGAAAGCTTGATCAATTTCTGTTTAGTCTTAATTGGGACTCCTACTTCCCTGGATCCCATGCCTTCACTTTGCCATAAGCCACCTCTGACCATTGCTCCATCTTACTGGACACCAAACCGGATTCCAGAGGCACTAAACCCTTTCGGTTTGAACTATCTTGATTAGAGGAACCCAACCTAAACTCCCTTATCCCCTCCTGGTGGAACTCTCTCTCTCCATCGGTGGAAGGATGGGCAGGATTTAGGTTGCAACGCAAACTCTAGTTACACAAGCTTTCCCTTATAGAGTGGAGCTGCCATCTCCCTGGGTCCTTTCAACCCTAAAAAGCTTCCATCCTCCAATCCATTCAGAGCCTCGACCTAGCTGAGGTAATAAGGCCTCTTTCTGACTTCTAACACCAACAAAGATCTCAACTGAAATTCAATTATCAACTTATTCTCAAAGAAAAAAAAAGAAATATTTTGGTTTCAGAGAAGTGGCTCCACTTTGGGGATCTCAATACTTCCTTTTTCATAAAATAGCTAATTGTACGTGTAGGGAAATTAAAGTTAGAGATAGGGGCCTCAACCAACTAGCTGAAATTGAGGACACCATCATCAACTTTTTTAAATAGCTTTTTTCTACTCCCTTAGGGCCTAAACCCGGGATGGCCTACGTCTCCTTTCTCACCCTCTCCCCAAATCACGCATCTTGAATGGAAAGGTCTTTCTCGGAAGAGGATATTCTTTTGGCCATTAACAATCTTGCCTCAGATCGTGCCCTTAGACCCGACAGTTTTCCCATGGCCCCTTTCAAAAACTTCTAGGACTCCTTTCCTGACGACTTCTTTGCCCTCTTCGACGAATTCCACACTAGGGGTATCATTCACAAGGCTATGAATGCTACATTCATCACTTTGGTGCCCAACATAGAAGAAGCAGAGGAACTCAAGGACTATCATCCCATTAGCCTTATCAATTCTACCTACAAAATTATCTTGAAAATCCTGGCCACCCGCCCTATCTCAGGTCATCTTCCCTTCGCAAGAGATTTTGTTGAAGTTTGTTAAATCCTTGATGTCGTGCTAGTGGCTCACGAATGCATTCATTCTAGACACCTATCTAATATGTCCGGTTTGGTTATCAAATTAGACTGGGAGAAAGCTTATGATCATGTTGACTGGGTTATCCTGGACAAGACACTCTCAAGGATGGGTTTTGGGGATCGTTGGAGATCCTGGATGAAAGGCTGCTACTCCCATCCCTACTTTTCCAGACTTATCAATGGCTCGCCAAAAGGTTTTTTTCCCCTCTTCCAAGGGTCTTAAGCAAGGAGACTCCCTCTCACCTTTCCTGTTTGCCATAATTGCTAAGGTATTCAATCCATTTCTCAATTTGTTTCTCTTAAGACGCCTGCATGTGTTTAAGAGTGGGCCCCAGGGACCAGTCATCACCCACCTACAATACGCCAACGATACCCTTGTCTTTTACGAAGCATCCCAGCAAGAACTCAATAACCTCCTTCTCTTTCTTAAATGTTTAGAGCTCGCTACAAGGTTCAAAGTAAACCTCGCCAAATAAAAAATGGTTGGGGTTGCTTTGGACTTCCAAGATACTTAGGTCTTTGCAGATAGTTAGTGCTCCCAGGTGGAATGTCTGCCATCAAATTACCGGAGTCTGCCCCTTTGTATCGTTAAACCCAAGAAGCGATTGCGGTCCCACATTGTTGACAAAGTGGACTGCAAACTAGATGGTTGGAAGGGGCATTTCCTTTGTTCGAAAGGAAGGCTGACCCTTATAAAGGCCACCTTGGCGAACATCCCTACATACCAGATGTCGCTCTTCCACATGCCTGCAGCAATGACCTATCGGCTCAAGCAGATTCCTTTAGTTGGGCAAGGCCAATACTCATAAGTTCCACTCATCTCGTGGGACAAAGTGTGCCAGCCTAAGCGCCGTTGTGGTCTTGGCATTGGGAATTTAAGGAAGCATGATACAGCCCTGCTAGGAAAATGGTGGTGGCATATTGCCACCCAAGGAGACCAACTATTGATGCAGATCTTACGGCAAAGTATTGCCTCCATTCTTCCTCCTGGGTGCCAGATTATAGGCCAGCAACAGAACTTCTGGGGTCTGGGAATCTATCCTTTCCTCCTTTACCTTATTCAAAAATCACATCCACTTCCACCCTAAGGAAGGACACGACGCATTAGATTATGTTCCGACTTGCAGATTGGTCACACCCCCCTCAAAAGCCTGTACCCATCCCTCTTTAGCCTAGCACAGAACCAATTGGCATCTGTGGCCGATGAAACTGTTGGATATATGGCCTTTCAAGGCCTTAAATGCAATGACCAGAGTACATAGTCACAGTGGGAATGACTAGGAACATGCTGGCTGCCGATATCCTTTTGTAATAGGATCTAGTTAAGCCAAAATAACCATGTTTGACTGAGGCGAGGTTCTTGGACCACATTGTGAACCGAGAGGTTTTAAGGTATTCCTCTAGTCAAGGTCAGTATGACTAAGTATGCCTCATGTCATGTGAGCCAAGGCGTGAGGATCAGTGGATCCCCGTTTGTTTGAAATGTGTTGAGACATAAGCCTTGTGCGAGCATAGCTAGGCTGTAAGACAACATAAGCCCAAATCTCTGACATATGTAGCTTGCTCACGGTGTGTGCACAGACAGTCACATTTTGGGAAGTCATTCTGATAAGGTACGATCCACCTATCAGAACTGTGCACGCGTGCTAAGTGAGGACCCCTGCATCTGCAAGAGTGCATGTCATTGGGGGTAACTTGTAATCCACTAAACACCCTGGAATCCATCCAACCATCAGTTAGCTTTGATAGGTTCATTCAGATCTAGACTAAAGCCTGTGAAGCATAGGGGCTCGTTGGGTTGGTCCAAGAAATTGGATTGGGTTTGAGGGTCTAGCCTAATGGAGTACCATACAGCCCGAACTACAGTGGAACCAAGTTTTTCCACCCTAGATTTATTAAATGTGCCAGGCCTTAATATTTTGATAAGAAATGATGAAAAATGATTTATCATGCTTTTAGATATTTTTAAAAATTTTATTTCATGGGAAAAGTACTTTGACAAATTTGTTGTGTTAAATTCCAATTACGGACACCTGCACATGTGGAGTGTGGCACATAAATGGCTAATGTGTGTCACACGTGCATCCAATGGGACCTCCACGTCATTGCCCAATGGGCATGACGTGGAAACCCTAAACCTAGTTGTGAAGGCCCTTGTTTGGATATATCACATAACCTTATTATGTATAAAGTAATCCTTCAATTGTTATGAGTGGGGTGCAGGGCAAACCAAGATATACATGGGAGGAAACCAAGAAGAACCAGTTCTAGGAATCAGGGATATATTCTGAAATTGCAACTGGAGAAACTCTGGTTCTAAAGGACACTCTCGTCGCACCTGGAATGCGTACAAGTCTGATCTCAATCTCTAAACTCTTCTTCTGATTACCTGACTCTTTTCTCGGGAAACTTTGCTTATGTGTATGAAAAGGACCCGAGTGGTCCAGTTGTCTTTGTAGCC